CTAACTTAGTTCGAATTAGTTAATTCGAACTAAGCTAGTTCGAACTAACGCATCTAGAACTAAAAACTAGTTCGAACTAGCGTTTTGCTAGTTCGAACTAGTAAGTCCACATTGAGTGGACTCTGAACAGGGCTTAAGGATGGCCGGAAGCAGTGCCGGCAGGGCATAAAAGGAGGACTTAGAGCATGGAGATACTGTCTCAGGCTAGCCGAGGGCTGCGCTTAAAGGGTCCCGACCCCCACCCCGGACACACAGTTCTAAGGGGTGCCCCGCTTGCAAAGAAGTTCTGGCTTGGAGTGCCCTGAGTGCCCACACTGGGCACATCACACCACTCGGCCATCAGCCCGGCTGCACTTGCCGCAGGCTGCCATCTGGGGAGAGGGAGTAATTGGGGGGCTGCAGGAGAGCTTCCACCCCCAGAAGCCCGCAGAGCCAGCCCAGTCCTCCCCATCGGGGGCTCGTACCCCATTCCTCCCTCACCTCCTTCCACTTACCCTTCCCTAGCCCCCCTTCTTATTGATGTACAAAATAAAGATAACGTTTCTTCCAACATTGACTCTGTCTTTATTGAAAAAAACTGGGGGAGACTGGGAAAAGGAGGTGGGAGAGGGGAAGAGAAAGGCTGGGAGAGGGGAGGGCAACTAACATGATCAGGGGTTGGGAACAGGTCCCAGATGAAGAGAGGCTACAGAGACTGGGACTGTTCAGCTTAGAAAAGAGGAGACGGAGGGGGGACAGGATAGAGGTCTCTAAAAGCAGGGGTTGGGTGGAGAGGGTGCATTCAGAAAAGTTCTTCCTGAGATCCCATAAAGAAGGACTAGAGGACACCAAAGGAAAGGAATGGGTAGCAGGCTTGAAACTAGTAAGAGAAAGTTGTTCTTCTTCCCAAAGCAAATAGTTAACCTGTGGAACTCCTTGCTGCAGGAGGCTGTGAAGGCTACAACTAGAACAGAGTTTAAAGGGAAGTGAGATCAAGTCATGGAGGTTGGGTCCATGGAGTCCTATTAGCCAGAGGGTAGGAGTGGTGTCCCTGCCCAAAGTTTGTGGAAGGCTGGAGAGGGATGGCACGAGACAAATGGCTTGGTCATTGTCTTCGGTCCATCCCCTCCAGGGTCCCTAGGGTTGGCCGCTGTCGGCAGACAGGCTACTGGGCTAGATGGACCTTTGGTCTGACCCAGGACGGCCATTGTAAGCTCAGGGCTCAGTGTCGGGGGTCTCAGTGGACCCCCTTGATTTTCATGCACACCTGGTCCTGGGTGGCCAGGCTGGCAGCTCTCCTGCCCTAGACGGCCACTTTCCTGTGCCTAGTGCGGAGATCGTGGACGAGGTCCACGATGTCCTCACTAGCCCAGGAAGGTGCCCTCCTCTTGCGGTCCAGGGCAGTAATTCAAATTACTCTACTGACAAACTATTTTTTTCCCAAAATGAGAAATTACAAGAAAGCCGACTTCTCAAAATGGATAAAGAATAGTTTCTTTGGAGACTATCTTTCATTGTCTGGCTATAGAATGAAGAACTGTAAAAAACAAATCAGTGGAAATTAAATGTTCTGAGACTAAAATTGAGAAGTGTGAATTGTGGAGAATTCCAATCTTGTTATAAAAATGATTGCCTGCCTTCCAGATATGTAGCATGTCAACTAAGAAAAAATGAAGGGAAAAAAAAGCTATTTCCAGTTCTCTAAGCCACTCCGATTCACTTTTAATTACTCTATGTTGTATAATGAAAGTCAGAAAGACTTATAGATAAAGATGAATTTTTAAGCCATAGGTATTCCTTCCCTATATTCTGCTGCCTCACTGCAAGTATTCCCAAAATACTTCAAGATGAGCTGACAGTTCAAGAGATTCCATTCAATTACTCTACATCAGTAGATTTCACAGTGAAAATAATAAGTTGCAGCTGGTTGTTGCTGAGGTAACATCTTCAAATCTAGTGTTAGTTTTCAGGTGCTTGGCTTAAAGAAACTAAGCAGTTGGGATCTTTTTTATTTATATGTTCGTCTGTTTTTTTCTATATACTATTATTTGTATTACAGATATATCCTGGTTGTGTTAACTGTACCATTAATTGGAATATTAACCATTCCTTTCCTTACCTGAAAAATATATTTTTAAACTGAAATATTTAAGTAAAGCAAATTGCGTAACTGAAATGCTTTTTCCCCCGTTCTGTGTTTCTTCCTCCGTCTTCATTAGATACATAATGCAGCTAGCAGTGCATTCCATGATTGCTTACTTCAGTTAAAGACTTAGACACACAGCGGCTATTACAACTAGGTGACATTTTTCAGAAAAATATTTTATTCACTGAAAAATGCAGTTTTGTTTAATCAAAAACCATTTGAGAATTTGCAATAAATAGTTTCTAGAGTAAAAAAAAGGACTTGGATATTATTCAGAAAGTGGCTACACTAGGTAGTGATTGGGAGGTCTAGGTTGGATATTAGGAAAAACTATTTCACTAGGCGGATGGGGAAGCTCTGGGATGGGTTCCCCTAGGGAGGGGGTGGAATCTGCAGCTCTGAGGTTTTTAAGTCCCGGCTTCACCAAGCCCTGCCTGGGATGATTTCGTTGGGGTTGGTCCTGCTTTTGGCTGGGGGCTGGACTCAATGACTCCTGAGGTCTCTTCCAGCTCTAAGATTCTATGATTCCATGATTACTTGGGACACCTCCCAGAGGCGTGCAAATGGCTATATATTAGGGATGTGAATACCAGCTAAAGTGTAAGCATGTAACTGTTAGAAATCCTACCTGGTACACTGCAGATTATGCAGCTTTATACTGCAGAGCCTGCAGTGTGTCTGCCTGTCCTGAAGCAGGGTTGGGAGCTGCAAGCCAGTGCACACTGGGAGTGCCCTATAAGTGTGCACTGACTCCTGACTGTGGGCCCCACACCTGATGCTGGGTGCACTGCGGGTGCTGCAGTATGAGCTTTATACTACAGAGCACGTAGTGCAGGGTCCAGCCCATGAAGCTGCAGCAGGACAAGATGTACTGGTGCTCCAGCCATGTCGGGAAGAGGGGGCAAGGAG